CTGGTTATTTTTCCCTCCTTTTTCAAGGAATTTACTCTAAGGGAGGGTCATACTCTTGACCCAACACCCATCACTCATGGCAGAAATGTCTTACTTCATCATTGCGGTCCGAGAATCCAGATCAGTGCCTTGCTCGTAATATGACTCTTTCCTCTAATTTCACTCCATTGCTCAACTGTTTGCAAACCAACTTCTGATATAGTCCTATTGAAACTACTCTATCCAAAGCCAACAAAATTATTTCTTCCTGTTAAATCTAATGGGCTTTTCTTAGTCCTTTCTCTTTCGGTACTTCTCTGCTGCACTCCTGCATTTAAAAGGCCTGAAGATCTTACTATGTGCTGGGCACTATGTTAAAAATAAGTGAGATAGTCCCTGCCCTCCAGGAGTTTCCATTCTAATAGAAGACATCTAGCCAAGCAAGAGTTGGAAAGCAGGTGGAGGCATTCTTGAAAATGGCTTTGGAATGTTATGGTAAACCCAAGGTAAGAAGAGTTCACCAATCAGAACCCAGATTCCCAAGGTTGGAAGTACGATGGGAGGATCTTCACCATATCTCCCCTCCAGGGCACTCTATCATCCCTGGAATTTATAACACAGCTCCTGGTTCTCCTCTTACTTAGCTGAACACTTCTCAGTCTCCCTTGTTGGACCATCACTAATCTATCACACCTAGGAAGTGTAGATGCCCCTCAAGGCTCTGATCTATTATTCTCCAGACCATAAAACCAAGCAGTTTAAATTCAACAAAAACATTTCATGGAAATCTATCCTTTTATTTAGTCTTCCAGGGAGGCCATTCTAGCTGATCTCTTCCATGATATACTGAGCCACTCTTCAGTAAGCAGTAAAACCACCTTAGTTTCATACCTCTAAACCAAGTCGGACTCTGGCTATGCCCTGACAGAGACCTGCAATCTTTTTTTCTTTTCTTTTGTAATTAAAAAAAAAAAGAAAGAAAAGGTAAGTATCTGCACTTGAAAAAAAATAGGAAAAGGCAGGGTACAAAGAAAGAGAAAGAGCTCTGGTTACAAGAGAACTCAGTATTTTTTTTAAACCACAGTGAAAGCAATAATTCATTTTTAAAGCTACAAAGTATTTTGTAGTCTATTTTACATACAAAATAGAAATATTTCATTGTGAATCTATTTCATCTATTTCATCGTGAATCTATTTCATCTATTTCATCGTGAATCTAAAAACTATTCTTAGCGTACACTGTATTTCAACTCCTAGCCATGAAGATGAAAGCAAAAACCAACATGAAGACTAGTAGGAAAGACGTTGACAGAGTGGGTCAGTCTAGCTCTGGTTTCTTGCGTGTGTGTGTGTGTGTGTGTGTGTGTGTGAGAGAGAGAGAGAGAGAGAGAGAGAGAGAGAGAGAGAGAGAGAGAGAGAGAGCACCCAAGTGTTCACTTGTACATATGAATGAGAAGCTTAAGACAAGTATCATGGTTAGAAAGCCTGCCTCAGATCCAAGAAAACACTGGTTCAAGCGCAAGCTCCCCAAGTGCCTATTCACTTGACTGCTCAGTGCCTCTGACAACTCTCTGAGGCAATGTTGCAGAAAAGATGCAAATCTGAATTGGTTGAAAAAGTTCCTCACCTGGAGCTCCCCACCTGGAGGACATCACAGGCCTAGTTTAAAAAAATATATAGAAACATGTACATAAATAAGGTGATGCTCAACACACACACACACACACACACACACACACACACACGCCCTGAAAGCTTGCAGGAAGGGCTGCATTCATTTGTATATATGAATACATGTGTGCATACAATATACATAAATATATAACTGCTACATTCATACATAAATACATACTATATATAGTTTAATATATGTATATAAAACAAGACTCTTTGCTTCCTTCCAACTATCTCCCTCTTACTTTCAAATAACTCCATTTCCAATTTAGGGACCAGCTGAAGCCTGGAGGCAATTGACTTTTTTTCTTTGAGTTTCATTTGAGGCTCTAGAGACAAAGAAAGGAAGAAAGGGAAATGACATTAGGGCAAATAGGTCTCATTATACGATACTAAACTGGGACTACGTTAAAGGACGGTCATACTCTAAAATAAAAGCAAGACACTCATTTAGGAAGCCACCTCCTGTCTTTGAGGCTTACAGAAAATTAAGGATGGCTAGAAGAGATTCTTTTAATAGTAGAAACCAGGTAAGTGGGTCAAGATTAGAAAAGGATATCACTTTTCTGCAGCCTTGGCTAAGTACAACTCTTCACATGGCAGCTTTTTCAGGAAAGGAACAAGAATTCATATAGCATCTACAATGTGCCATGCACTGTGCTAAGCATTTTTACAAATATTATCTCATTTGATCTCACAACAACCTTGGGAGGTAGATACTATTATTATCCCCATTTTACAGTTGAGGAAACTGAGGTGGGAGGAGGTTAAGTGACTTGCCCGGGTCACTCAGCTATATATATATATATATATATATAGTGTCTGAGGCTGTGTATTCCTGACTCCAAGCGGCAGCTAGGTGGCAGAGTGGATAGAATGCCAGGTCTGGAATCAAGAAGACTCATTTTCCTGAGTTCAAATCCAGCCTCACAGAGTTACTAGCTGTGTGACTCTGGGCAAATCACTTAACCATGTTTGCCTCAGTTTCCTCATCTGTAAAATGAGGTAGAGAAAGAAATGGAAATCCATGCTAGTATCTCTGCCACAAAAACCTCAAATGGGATTACAAAGACTCAGGCATGACCGATATTCCTGATTCCAAGCCTAGCGCTCTATCCTCCCCGCTGCCTGGTAATAGTCCATTTGCAGGTCCATTATCATAACTTCCAGACCTTGTATTTTTCTCTAGGGCTTATATTTCAGATCTAAATTATGTGTTTAGTGTCTTTGGACAAATATTCTTGCAACATTTAAACCACTGAATTGATGGTCACTATTGAAAATGAAAAATGAATTTAAAAGGAAAATCTCCCTGAAGGAAATTCTCCCTGTGTAGCTTTTTCCTAAACCTCCTCTCTCAGTTCATTTTCTTCCTCCAGCGTTGCTCTTTCATATCTCTATTTTTCCTGCTAATCCCTCAGAAGGGATAATTACCCAGTCAAAATTGCATCACACTACAAACAAGGCCCAACAAGGAAGAATACCAGCATGGATTAACTCCTCATTTGTTGCATTAACAACCCAATACACTGTAAACTGTATTAAGACTGCTGTACATCTTGTGATTGGCCTATGCTCAGCAAAGAAAAGGATTCTTTCTTTTTGTTCTCAGCTGAACTGACATCCTGATGCAAAAAGAAGGGGGAACGGGAGGAGAAACAGCATTTTTTTCAAAATAACTTGGGCAGTGGGGAATGTGCCTATAAAAAATGTGAGTATGGCTTAAGGGGCACATGGCAAACAAACCAGATTATGGTCAATTTCACAAGAAGTTGATGTCACTTAGAGACCCCTTGGGGAGTGAGCTCATATGCTGACAGAAAATCCCATCCTTGCTGTTACTTCTGAATTTGTATGAAAAAAAATGTTGCCTAGCACTGAATTCATATAAATTTGGAAAGAAAGCAAAAGTACAATATGTACCACTAAGAGAAAAAAAAAGGATGAAAAAGATGGAAAAAATTTTTCATTGAAATCTATCTCCCTCTTTACAAGAAAGCATTTTACTCTTAGATAGCCATCTGAATAGAATCCCATCAGGGTCTCCTAATGATCGAAGCCATTGTATTAATGGCCAAAAATCCCTGGGTAAACAGTTTTACAATGCAGAGCTTTCTGAGGAATTCCTTGGGCCAAAGAGAAAATGTAGTTGAAATCTTCCCACTAGTCTATCTTTCACGTGGTTATTTAATGTTTAGTGAGTCCCAATATTAAATTAAGCTATGTGCTTAGCCTAGTACCCACAAAGGACCCACGATTACAAATAGCTTTGAGTTCTCTAGCTGAGAAAGGAGTTCAATACGTTTTTTTAAAAAAAAAAAAATACATTAGGGGAAGTCCAAACTAACAAAGTAAAAGGATGTACTCTTTCATGAAACTAGAGAATTCAAGCAGACCCTAACCCTACCAGTTTAGGCCTCTTCACCTTCAATATTCAGATAACTAAAAAAGCAAAATTATTTATGCGGCTGATTTGGCTTTCCAATTCATTTTGCTAATAGACATCCAGATTTATGCATTCTTGTCTCAAAGCTCTAACAAACATTATCTACTTTAGCCTTCTCTCGACTTTACAGGAAAATGAACTCATATACATAATCTTGAGCCAATATTCAGAATAAGGATGAAAATTGAAGTCATTAAAATTACTTCATGTTCTATCTTAAAGTAAAAGGAGAAAAATTCAGCCTATGGCCTTGGTCAAATTCCAATGTAAATTTATTTCATTCAGCTAGTGTCCTCTTTCTTCTCCTCTCTTTACCCACTTGTTCTCCCCTGTAGATTCACTGGGCTTTTATGTACCATGTTTATATGTTTCCCAAGTGCTTAGCACTGTGCTAGGCACACAGTAGGTCCTTAATAAATGCTCCTTGACTTGAATTTATTTGCTAAAACTATTTTAAGGAAACATGTGACTGAGGATATTGATCTGGAAGTTAAATCACATAGAAGCTACAGTTATGTATGGCTACAGTACTTAAAAATGAACCCTATGAAATCTGCTCTTCATTGCTTGTTTATTTGTTTGCTTCTTGAAGTAAATAAGTTATGAAAGGCTAAAGGAACTGGGTTAGGCTGAGGATAAAAAGAAAGAGCCATGGTTTATTAATGGTAGTCAGATAGGGTATACTATTAGAAAATTAGCCATATCTTCCTCATCTCCGACTGAAGGACAAAGGGGCTTAAACTGAAACAACATGAATCCAATTTGAATTTTAAAATTTTGTTGACAGTAATGGCAGAATGGGTTATAATAATTTACACTGCCCCTCAAAGTTTTCAAAGTGCTATATATAATTATCATGTGACCACCCAATGAAGTAGGTATTATTATCCCTGTTTTACAGATGGTGAAGCAATACACGGTCATACGGTATTGGAGAGGAACTTGAACTCAGGCTGCCTTCCTGATATAGGCTTTATACACTAGGATTAAACTCTCTTTTTTGGGAGAACCCATTTCAGGAGGATCGGAAGAAGAGACAGGGCACAGCTACTGCTTAGGGTAAGTAGGGATGCAAAATCAACAGAGATAAGAAAGACCTGATTGATTGAAATTTTGCTTCTATTTTCTCTGACAAAGGAGAACGAACTTTGAACTACAAAGGACAGAACTAAAATGGTTAATACAAAGAACAAATGAGGAGATTGTTTGTATGGTCCTGTTTGGAAACAGGGGAGCTGGACCACCCAGGATGCTGCCCAAGTAGATTCTGTGCAGTGGTTCACAAGCTGGCTGCCACTCCACTCATACCAGTGAGGGTCACTCCAATCTCTATACTCTCCCTGAGAGTAAGCATGGGGTTATCAGGGGTGGGAAACCTGCAGCCTCGAGGTAACACGTGGCCTTCTAGGTCCTTGGATGTGGCCTTTTGACTGAGTCCAAGTTTTACAGAACAGATTCTTTTATTAAGGGGATTTGTGCTTTAGGGCCACACTTGTGGACCTAGAGAGCCACGTATGGCCTCGAGGCCACAGGTTTCCCATCCCTAGGCTAGCTTTTAGTAAAGCAAGCAGATAGAGTAGGTTAAGTAATTACAGAAGGCTTTAGAGAGGAAATAATACCTAGCTAGCATTGATCTAGCACTTTACATACATTATCTCATCTGCTCTTTTTCCCCAGCCAACATTTACTGAGGAGCCATGAAAGCATACTACCTCTGGTGGTATAGAGAAAACTGTATATCAGCTCCCACTGGCAAGTGAAGGAAATATGGGCTAAGAACTTAATTCCTTGGAAAAAGTACCCCCTACTTACACTTCATTCAGTATAAAAATAAATAAGTGAAAGGGATTTTGCCCTTCATAAAAGAATAGGTAAAATCAGGATTTTCACTACTTTTTTTTTAGTGTCCTAAGATTCTAGAGACATAGCCTACATAGTAATCATTCACTATCTGAGCCTCAGTTTCCTTACTGGTAAAATGGGAATGAAAAATAATGCTAGAATATACTTAACTTCTTAAAAGCTTTTAATCATCAAAGGAGATAATGTTTATAAGGTGTTTTGTTTTTATTATAAGAGTTTTCAGGGGACATTTCAAAAGCCTGGAGGAAGTATGATAAAGTACTTAAAGGAGGGACTTGAGAGGCAGCAAGCACAATGGAAAAAATAGGGGATTTGCAGTCAGAGAGCATGAGTTCAAATCCATCCTCAGACACTTACTAGATGTGTAGCCTTGGGCAATTCATTTAATTTCTCTGGGACTCAGTTTCCTCATCAAATAAGGAATGTTTGACTTAATGGCCTCTGTTCCCTTCCAGCTCCAAATCTGTTATCTGTTATCCTATGACTTCAATTATTGACACATCTGTTGGGGGAAACTCACTCTCTCTCTCTGTCTCTCTCTCTCTCTCTCTCTCTCTCTCTCTCTCTCTCTCTCTCTCTCTCTCTCTCTCTCTCTCTCTCCTTCCCTCCCTCCCATCCTTCCTACTTCCTACTTATCAAATTCAAGTCACTTAGACTATGAACTATATTCTTATGTACAGAAAGAACTGACAGCTGGGATTATAGAACACCATCTGATATTTCATAGCACATGGAGAATAGAAGAGATTGGAAGAAGGGATTTGAGAAGGGTATGTGTTGTTCCAATTTTCAAAAAAAAATGAGAACAGAATCCAAGAGCTACAAGTCAATGATCTTGACTTTAATTCCTTTATTCATTTTTTTTTGTAAGCATGTAGTATACATCAGTGTAGTACAGGGCTTCTTATCCTGATGTCCATGGACATGGACAGGGAAAACATTTTGGTAACTATTTCAATAGAACTGGTTTCCTCTGTAACCCTATGATTTTCATTGTATGCATTTAAAACATTATTCTGAGAAGGGGTCCATGGGATCTACCAGACCACCAAAGGTTCCCATGACATAGACAAAAAGTTAAGACCCTACTCTAGCAGAATGGAAGCTTCTTAAAGGCAGGGATAGTCTTACTTTTCCATTCATAGCCTCACCACCTAGCATATTCCTGATAGTAGCTGGTTTATAAACGCTTTTTGATGAACTATAGCTACCTCAGTTCTGGGCATCTTCTTGTTTCTAAGGTGATTCAAATAAGCTTTCCATTTAGAGCTTCTATTTAGAGTCCCTCTCTAAAGTGATGATTCTTTCTTCCTCTAGAATCTAGAGTCTACTGAGAGGAGAAGTGCAAAGCATATCTATGACTCTCACAAAACAAGGACATACAACAAATGCAAGTGGAAAGAAAGTTACGAGTTCCATTGCTCATTGGCCCAATTTTCCGAGCTTGCTACCTAGATCATCCAGAAAGAATGTCCTGTCAAAACTATCGCCTTGTGGAATCAAACTTACTTTTAGCCCAGGTGAATGGCAGACATGTTGATAATCTACCCTAATGGTTTTATTTCAGTGTCAATAAATTTGGTCTAGAGCTAAACATTAAGCTCTTCTTTTACTATTCGGCAGTTACTTAACTCAATTTTTTTTTAATGTACAAGCTGTTCTGAAGTTTAAAAAGCTACACAAATGTTTGCTATAATTACTGAAGAAATTTAGGCAAAACAGTTTTATTTTAATTTTTTTTCAAGCAAAGCCCTGAACATTTTACAAGAAAAATATATCCCTCCTTGTTTTTCTCCCCTTCTCTGATAACCAGTGGAGACATTTTGGAAAACACAACTCTCTCCTTTTACTGCTTTCTCAAGCACAAAAGAACAATGGACCATACACACAGTGGCCCTTATATAATTACTTTTCGATAAACCAGGGTATCGGTTTCCTAGGTTACAAGTAAAAAAAAGCACAGATATGTCTAGCGCATTTAATATGTAAATGAATTAGGTCACACCAGTCATATTTCACTAAACAGGAGAGAAAGCCTGTAAATCATTCCATTTCTCTTCCTGTAGTTAATAGGTGGAATTTGATTTGGAGCTATTATAAGCCATGTAATGATTCTCCTATGGCAACACGGTTACCAAAATAAATTCCAAAAGAAAGTTTGGTACAATTAATGAAGTGAAAAATCAGTTTATGTCGAAAAGGTTAAAATGAAGAAAGAGGAGAAGACAGCCCTGAACCTAATCCTACACAGCAGAGGTTCTTAATCTAGGATTCATAAATTGGGGGGGCTTAAATAAATATTTTGATTACTATTTCAATATAATCGGTTTCCTCTGTAATCCTATGCATTTTATTTTATCCGGTTAAAAACATTATTCTGAGAAATGGTTTATTGGCTTCACCAGCCTGCCAAAGGAGTTTGTGACCCAAAAAGAGGCTAAGAAACCCTGCTAGGCAGTGTTTCTGCAGCTACTGTTTGCACCAAGAATAGCCCAGCACACCCACCCTGGCCAACTCAGGAAAACGAACAGCTGAAGTTCCCATGTCTCTTCCTACTAAGCCAGTGGTATACACAGGAAAGTCATGGTACATGGCAGAGGAGAGGCTTCTTAAAGCCAATGGGAAGCCAAGAAAAGCAGGGCTAATGTGATCCTGGCATCTTGGACAAATAAGAAAGAATCTTGTGTATCTGCCATTGGGAGGCAGAGAAGACCAGTGGCCAGAAGTGGGAGGCTAATGGAAAAGTCACCATTATCCCTTTGAACACTATCCACCAGTAACCAGAAAGTAGCTGCTTTCCAGCCTTTGGGAAAAGTGGACCAGAGCCAAGGCGAGGGGAGCAGGTCAATTCCTAATACAATAATAAAAATGAATGTGTGCATTTGGGGGATGAGAAAGGAATAAGGAAGAATCATCTCTTTTGTGTGCTCAGCTCCAATTAGAAAACGGTGCTCGCGTAGGGACCCAACAAGCACCCTGACAGACAACTCTGGAATGCTGGAGTAATGAGACACAATGATTTCTAGCTTTCTTAGCTGCAAACAAAGCCCCATTGTCTTTTCATGGGCATTTCTGCTGCCAATACTTCTCACAGGCTACAAAGCTACCCAATTATCAGTCTCTCCCATTCTCCCTGACCTATTTCCCTTCTTCTCAACAAGACATAATATTAAATGTGTATTTAAATATACATTTAACACTACCTTTAAAAATTGGCCTGGCAAAAACAACTTGGGGCACACCGGAGAGGGGACCCCAAACAAATCTCGTTTACAAAAACTAAGAGTTTGAAGTAAGATTCCCCCCCCAGTTGTGTTTATTTGATTAACATGATAGCCTGGCATGCAGGAGGTACTTAATAAATGCATGTGTGTGTGTGTGTGTGTGTGTGTGTAAATACTTATTGTCTTTTTTGACAATTATGAAATTTATAGTTAAAATATATTTAATTAGTATAAAGCAAAAATATATTGTGACTAAAAACCTTTTTAGTTCAAGAGAAAATATTAAGAAATAGATATGACTCCAGCCTAAAATCCTTTCCAAATTTTTCCCTTCCAGAATGTGTGTAGAAGATCAAAGGTCAAGAACAAACAGTACACCTAGTCTAGTTAAACTCTCTGCCTCCCCCATTCCCTAAGGAGCTATGACCCACCTAGGAGCAGTGACCACGTTTTATTCAGAAGAAATTAAGAACACTCATCACAGAGAAGAAAGGTTAAAAAAGAGTGGTTCAAATAGTTTTCCTACATGATTAGGCTATTACAATGCTCCACAACCGAGTGAAACTACGGCCTGAGGGCCAAATCCAGTCCCCTTCCCAGTTTTTGTTTAGTCAATAGTTTTTATATTTTTCAATAAAATAAAACTTTAGTGAAAAACACAAAAACCATTCTTAGCCAGCAACCTTAATTTGCCAACCTGGTCCTAGACTATCAATCCCCAAACACCTGAGGGCATTGTGTCAGTTTGGACAGCGTTCTAAATTAGAAAGGCTTGTATTTAGAAGGAAGCTAAATTAGTAGAAATTATTTTGTCAGACTTGTACTTGAAATGCAGAAAGTCCAGAAATATAAATTCTTTCTGATCAACCTTCAACAAGGCACAGTGACCAAACTAGGATTATAAGAGATGGTAATATTTGGGACCAGGTCAGACACAGTGAGTATCTGTGACTTTGGAGGTCAACGAGTTCATTGTTCTCACATTTACAAATGACAGACCCACGATCCCATGAGAAAAAGATGTGACTTGCCCACAATCCATTAGTCCACTCAGGCTGTAAATTTTCTAATAATAAGTCTAATTAGCATTTTTCTCTTTATCTTTTCACTTTGATACCTTAAACCAAACATAAAATAAATTTTAACTCCCAGGGCTCCCACCCTGCCTTATGAAGAAACACAGGCCTTTGACTGTATACTCTACAAACCAAATAATCTGTAAGCTGTTTTGCAGAGGCCTCCCTTTCATTTTCCTATTTGTAAAAGTGATTGTGTCTCCGAAAGTTAGAAAGGAATTAATTTCATCATGGCCTGAGGGATGAAAACATTCTAATAAAGAGGCATTAGGGGTTCCAACAGATCACTGAGCCTTTTAAAGACCCAATTGAGCCAACTTGGCATAAAACAAGGTGATTGTCATTAACAAAAATTATACAGAACTGCTGAGATCTGTTTCCAGCATAGTCCCCTGCCTCTTTCCTCCCAAAGTTAAAAAGGCTAGGGTTGAGGATTAATTTCCATTGAAACAATTCACTAACTCTGCTTTTCAACTTTGTTTTTTTGATTCTGTTGCTTTTGAAAAGTACTACCGATTTTTTTTTAATAACTTGTCCTCCTTTCTTTCTTCTTTGGAAGACCCTTCTTTTATAGCTTGAAGCTGTGGTTTCCAGATTTCTCTTTTCCCACAGGTTTTTTGACCAACCGACCTACAGTTCAGTCCTGGTCTTCATATGCTCCGAACAACTCCATAAATCTTCATTTCCTCTCTCACTGTACAAATGTGCAGCTGAATTAGGGACAGCCACCTCCTGACTTCCCTCTGTTGTTCCATCTTTCTGCCTTGTCCAACTCTTCGTGACGCCATGGACCATGGTATATGAGGCCTTTCTATCCTCCATTATATCCTGAAGTCTGTCCAAGTTCACGTTCACTGTTTCCACGACACCATTTATCCATCTCATCCTCCGCCTTTCCCTTCTCCTCTTGCCTTCCATCTTTCCCAACATCAGGGTCTTTTCCAATGAGTCCTGTCTTCTCATAATGTGGCCAAAGTATTTAAGCTTCAGCTTCAGTATTTAATCCTCCACTGAATTGATTTCTTTACATATTGACTGCTTCGATCTGCTTGTTATCCAAGGGACTCTCAAAAGTCTTCTCCTGAACCACAATTCCAAAGCCTTGATTCCACAGTGCTCAGCTTTCCTTATAGTCCAGCTCACACAGACATACATTGCTACTATAAAAACCATAGCTTTGACTACACAGATCTTTGTCAGCAAGATGATGTCTCTGCTTTTTAGTATGCTGTCCAGATTTGCCATAGCTTTCCTTCCAAGGAGCAAGCATCTTTTAATTTCATGGCTGCAGTTACTGTCTGCAATGATCTTTGAGCCCAAGAACATAAAATCTGACACCGCTTCCGTTTCTTCCCCTTCTATTTGCTAGGAAATGATGGGACCAGTTGCCAAGATCTTAGGGTTGTTTTTTTTTTACATTAAGCTTCAAGTCAGATTTTACACTCTCCTCTTTCACCCTTATGAAGAAGCTTCTTAACTCTTCTTCACTTTCTGTCACCAAACTGGTATCGTCTGCATATCTGAAGTTGTTGATATTTCTCCTGGCAACCTTAATTCTGGCTTTTCATTCTTCCAACCTGGCATTTCCAATGGGTGTACTCTGCTGGTTTCCTTCAAATCCCAGCTAAAATCCCACCTTAAATCCCACCTTATACCAGCAGCCTTTCCCAGTTCCCTGGAACCTGGTTTCTTTCCTCTGTTGATTATCTCAGATTTATCTTGTATTTAACTTATTTATAGACCACTGTTTGCACGTTGTCTTCCCCTCTCCATTAGACTGTGAGCTCCTAGTGGGCAGGGACTGTCTTTTGTCTTTCTTTATATCCTCAGGGCTTAGCACAATGCCTGGCGCATGGTAGGTGTACACCATGTACACCTACCATGCGCCAGGCATTGTGCTAAGCCCGAAGCTTATTGCCTGACTAACTAGGATTATGTGAAGCACCAGAGGGCTGATTTTTAAGAAGCAACTCATTTCAGTTATACAAGTCAAAGGGATTTCTTTATTCTGGAGCATGCTTGTCCCTCATGATTCACCAAAGGACCCACCACTCTTTATGTGCTGCCAGAAAGCCTAAAATTTTCTCTCTAATAGGAATGAACCTTCACAGAATGTCTATGATGTTATCTTTGCTCTACAGAATGAAGTGTTCTGGATGTGAATTAGACATAATGACTATTTCAAGTTAAACAGAGAGAACTGAAGAAAGACCTGATCAAACGTTTTACACTGATATCAGCAAGGACTAGCTAGCTGCCCCAGTCCCAGTGCATAGAGCACTG